ATACAGATACAGCAATTAAATTGTGCATACATGCCTTCCTTTTTCAAATCTATGCAGCTTTTATTACAACAAGGATTATATAGATATTAAAAAAAATATGTTGCCTACACTTTCAGATACATCTTTATGTTGTATGTTATAGTGTAATAGGTTTACCACAGAACTAAATATAAACACTGAAAGGTCAGTGCACTACATGTCTCCCTAGGCTTACACCAGGCTTCACCCCCCCGTGAAGTCTGATTAGGTCATATAATTCAGTTAGTGAGGATAGTTCAAAATGGCTCAAATGGCTCATTTCAGTTTCAGGGACTCTTGTGAATGAATGCATCTTCTACAAATGTATAAAAAAATGTATTTCATACACATTACAAAAAACTGCTTAAGAAACATTCTGTGAGACACAAAGGTTCTTGAGTCACACAGGCTAGATCTGGTCACAGATGTGAATAGCCTTAATTGAGAGATGGACATTTGGCTGCTTTGTTTTGCAAATAAGGATGACATTGTTAACTGAAACATCAGCTAATGGGTTCGAATTTTTGCTCTTTCACTTGTAATGAAAGGCGTTCTTGTTCATAGACAGTTTTCTTTTGAACAATGAATATTTAGTGAATTCCTAAAAGTTGAACAGCTGCAAAATGGGTTTATTTTATTGCTCAATTTTTCAGCTAGCCTGTCCTTCAATTATTAAAAATCCCTGTGGGCTCAGAAAATCTCAAAGTTAAGCAGGCATTCTTGCCTACATGTTATATTTTTAGTGTACATAGTGTAGATATATTATATACACATATACCACACATACCACTCATACCAACTCTGGCTTTAATATACTGTACTACACCCATATATTGTAATTGTAATTTAACAGAGTATTAGAACTCGCCAAGCCTATGTGGAATTTTCTCTTCAAATTATATCAGATTAGCACAACAGACATTTGGGATAATATCCCAATGGGAGCCAGGTAAGTTCAAACTTTGGCCCCCAGTGACTGACTTATTCATGCAAAGTTTTAAAGGATAACTGTACTGTTGAAAACAATTTCTCATTCAGAATTAGGTAGCCCGGGCCTGCCTTCCAAATAGTAAATAAAAAAATTAGTTACACTAGCAACATTACTGTTGCCCTAAAAGGTCTGTATGCATTTTTTACAGCCTTCCATGCCCCTATGAATTTGTCATATTGTTGCTTCTTTACACATGCAAAGTTGTACCTGCAAGAGAATGATGGCCAGCCTTGAGGCTGACCGCACCCATTGGTCTGCATATTGCAGACGCTGCCATGAAGGAGCAGGAGCAACTCTGCTCAAAGGCCATACATTTGAATAGAACAGTCACTGGTACTGCTGCAACAAAGTACTTATTTATTGCTTGCATGGTAGATCAAGACTGCCTGTTGTTGATTTTTTTGTAATATTACAGTCACAAGAAGAGTCACAAAAACTGTATTAGAAGTAAAAAAAAAAAAAAAAAAAAAATTCTTCCCATTAAGCAGTTTCTAAAAAACACTGATCCATAGTTGCCAACATTCCATGGGAAAGTATGTATTACCCCAAAAAACAGCAAATGGGCAATGTCTAGTAGCAAAGCTGTGTAAAAAGGTCCATCAGAGGATTACGTATGGGAAATAAACCCTACTCATAGAGGAACTTGGAGTTTCCAACTACAAAATTTAAAAATCCCATTGATGTTCAGAGTAATAACCGGACTACAGAGCAGTGGTCAATATACAGTAAAAGCCAGGCAACTAGCATTTTTAGAAGGAGGTCAGCAGTGAAAGCTCCTATAATTCTCCTTGGAAGGGTTTACTTTAAGAATGACAGTGAGGGAAAGGAATGTTGGAACCTCCTAGCAACCCATGGTCTAGTTACTATAGTATATTGCTATTTAGATTCAAACATGAGAACATTTGCTCCCCCTCTTTTATCCATTGATCTGGTTTGGGGACAACTTGGAATTTCACAGGAAGAGCTGGAGTTCATACTTGATCATTCGGAATTCTAATCTGGCCTCTTCAACCTACTAAAGTGTAACTCTACAGGATTAAGTGGCCCGAAAATGATGATAATGATGATGATGAGTAATTGCGCAGCCACTACAAATGAATGGACTGCTTTGTCACTGAGTAACTTCACATCCTAGCCAACAATTACTATTATTATTGTTATTATTGTTATTATTATTATTATACCATAATTGCATGATAGCATTGCAGTCCCACAATTCACATCTGTTCTCAAAATAGTCAGGCATATCATAAATGTGAATAGCGTACTACTCTCTATAATATAAAAGATGTCCAAAATGAAAACATAGATAATGGAAAAAAAGACTGATGTTGCTGCTCTTGGTATTTCCAAGTCAGTGCATGACAGACATAAATGAATGGACACAAAGACCAAAACCTTTTTAACTGGCTCGATTTCTAGGGCTGCATAGTAACATGTTCAAGGATGTATATTGACTTCTGTCGATACTTGGCCTACACAGCCATGGTATGGGCTTTGAAGTGTGATCATTATATGACTGGTAACCAACAAATTTATTTGTGCGCATTTCTTGCGCTGTTGACATGTAGAATATTATTTCACATAATGGAAAAGACAGAACTTCACTCTTCCATCTCCTATATTTTGACAACAATCAGTTGTGCAGCTTGTCTGGAACGGTTGTGAAAGATAAACCAATTAGTCTTGCTGAATCTCTGCTGTGTAAATATGTGTGCCAGTTTTTTCCAACCTGTTCTCTTTGGAGAAAATGTAAATTATTTTTCTTCCTTCTTCTAACTCTAGTGTACCCAAGCCCTTACCATGCTTTCATTAAGATTGATCACATTTCTGCCACAAAAGGCCAAGTAGCAAAAGAGGGTTCAAGATTCACATGAAAAGCACCTTTTTAATACAAGGAAGCGAGAGACTATTATTTTTTTATATGAATACAGATATTATTTTTATTATTATACAGGATTTATATAGCGCCAACAGTTTATACAGCGCTTTACAATATAAGGAAGACATTACAATTACAATACAATTCAAGACAAGATGGTAAGGAGGGCCCTGTCCGTGAGAGCTTACGATCTAAAAGATATGGTTATTTACTATTTGCTGAACACATTAACATAAACTACATACAAATCATTTGTTATAAATACCATCATTTCAGCACTGTAAGATGTCTACATAGTGATTATAAGGACTTAGTATAGGACACTTTCAGTGTTGTGAAAGTATATATTCACTTATACGATTGTGTTGCATTTAGGGTAGTCTTAGTTTCATCATTGGGGTTAGGGGAAGATGTGGTAAATGGTAGGTTGTGTTACAACTTAAGCCTCAGGTTTTAATTAAGGTTTATGTGTTAGAGTGAGAGTTTGAGTTAACGGGTCAGTTTAGCATTTGATCAAAAGTAAAGGTTTGGAGGGGGATTGGGTTAAGTGTT